TATACCTCAAATTTTTAACAGGCTTTACCAGCGTTGGTTCTTAACTACGAGTCGTATGTAAGCCGGATGTTCGTAACTCAGGGGCTACCTGTATTCCTAGCACCTAGAAGAATACCTGGCCTACGGTTGGCACAATGGGTGCTCACAATAAAGATTTGTTGAATGAATGAATGAGCCACTTACAGATTTGTCAAGGGCAATGTCGACCGTATGTGATCTTCCTGTACCACCAACCCCATCCCACTGCCATCCCAGACCCTCACTCCCTGCTTCTTTGCAAAACTGGACAAAAACTTTGTACCATATTGAAACTAGAGCACAAAAAACATGAATCCGTCACTATTCTAAAAACATTATACTACTTTAGAAAAACATTTGCTTTTTAACAGTCAAGATAACACGTAGGTATGTGTATCTTACTTTTTTCTCACTCAGCTTTGTTGTAGCTAAATCAATCTCTAATCAATCCACTTTTAAAACAAAAGCAGTGCCCAAGAGGACAAAACCATTAACTACTATCTTCAGGGAACTACAAGTTCATGCAGATAGTAACCTCCATGATATTGTCGAATATGCAGTTGGAGAATACACCTTAGCACTTCATCTTCTTTGTTCTGGGCCATTACCTTTTACAGTAATCCTGCGGGCAGTCACATGTTAGCAGAACATTATCACAGGTCATACTACACCTATGGAAAGGTAAAAAATGACACACACTTATCTTTCCTCAAAAACACAGGGCTCTCACAAGCCCTCCGCCATCATGGTATATTTATCAAGTGGCTGCTAAGAACTCCCAGCACTGTGGAAAAGGTACCCAATGAGATGAAAGACACTATTGTGGTCCTTCCAATTTTTAAAATTTAAGTTAGGCTGGTAAACATAAAATCCAGGAAAAATCTAAAGTAAGATTGCATACAACGAAATGCTAATTAGTGTGGACTTACAGGCTAAGTTCAATAGGACGTAAATTCAACACAGGCACAGCACTACATTCAGGAAACTTCAGACAAAAAAGAAAATTAGAATTTTCGTCTGTAAGGGACCTTCACTTTATAGATGAGGAAGCTGAGATCCAGAGACCCAACTAATAGTAATAGAATTCATGTCACCTTCAGAGTGGCATTTTTTTTAATGTGTAAATATAATAAAAGTTTTAATTTTTTACCAAAAATGTATCAGCTCCTACCACACCTTTTTTTGGTAAAAAGTATATGCATATATTGCTAATTCACCAAAAAAAAAAAAAAAAGGCAGATCTTCAAAGACGTGCTTTCTTCAAACTGAGACAACTTCACAAATCAACACACACAGGATTTAATTCCAGTCTGCACAGATGAGCCCCACCACGAGACATTCTTTCTGTACACAGGTTTCAATTTTCCAAGCACAAAGGGTCAGGCATTTACTTCATGTGCAGGGACATTTCAGTTTCCTTGGGAGGAAATCAGAAATGGAAAACTTTCCACTTGTATTCAGTATTTTCCTAAGATCTGTCAACAGTTGGCAAGGAGCAGAAAAACTTAGAACGACTACCCATATCAACCTTGGGGACCATCTCGAGATGAACCTGCGCTGTTTTTTTGACTTTTTTGGCTGCAAGTAAGGACATCCTGGTTTGGTTTGGTTTGTTTTTTCCCTGCCATAACACTTCTTTAGCATTTTAGTGAATTCACCCCAGGAAATAATTTGCTTTATCAAATTATTTTTATAAAGCAACCTTCAAGAAGACATGTATTTTGATAAGAAAGTTAAAACTGTGTTTCAAAAGTCAGCACAACTATAATCTAAGACACGGTTACAATATAACCCCAAGACAATATGTGTGTAAGTTATTAGGCACACCTCTGTTTATGCATTCCGCCAGTCAGCCACATCAACCACAAACACTGAAGTTCACAGAGAGGAGATTTCTGATGCTCTAGTCACTGGCCTTTCTTAGAACACTATGGTTGTCAAAGACCACTGGTGGAAGAATCCACAGTTAAGTGAGGTACCATTCATGAGCTTACAGATCAACCTGTACAGAAAGGTCATTGCAGTGAGGAGTCTGCCAAGAAATCACTAGGGAGGTAGCCCTGCCATAAACACACACACTTACACATACCCTACATGCAGAAAAATGCATTTTATAAGGGCAGACATCAGTAGAAGGGTTAGGTACAACTACAACTCTGCAAGATTCTACAAAATGAAATGGAGGAGCTTGACACAAGAGCAGCATGAAAAAAAAAAAAAAATTAAAAAGGCAGTAGCGTTCCTGGCAAGATTCAGATGGAAAAATAGCAACAGATCCCAGAAGCTGAGCTGTAGCCAGGAATAGCCTAAGCTCAAGCCATTTTAAGGAAGGGCAGGATAACACTCACTAAGGATTCACTGCAATGGTTGCTCCAGGTCTCTGGGCCTCCAGGTTGAACCATGACTGTGGTCTACTAGTCAGTCAACAAACATTTACCAAATACTGTATATGCTACCTGTTCAGGACTCTGCTAGTCATTGTGGAGGGATGAGCAAACCTTTGTAAGGCATATGCCAGGCACTGTGTAGACACTGTAAATCATCTTCATCTCACAACCAGCAGGGGGAGGCATCTCCCCTATTTTACATATCGGAGGACTGAGAATTCCACAGGGCCACACAACTAAGTGGAGTCAGGCCCTGACCCCAATTCTGCTGACTCCAAAGCCCATAATACCACATTACCATGCATTAAATATGGCTCCTGTCCTAAAGAGGCTTAAAATGAACTAAACCAAGGAGAGATCAATACAACCAATATAATGAAGGGCTAACAAACAAGTATCTTAGGAATTTAATGAAAAAGAAGGGAAATGAGTAGTTAGAGAAGATTTTATGAAAGAAGTCGATTTCAGGTTCCTCCTGGGAGGATGCATAGGATTTGGGTAGGAGAGTGGAACAAAGAGAACGAGTTTCTAGAAGAGCTATATGAGCATTGACACCCAGTGGGAGTGAGCCTGTCCCCTTGGCAGGACAGCAGGAAGACCAAACTGCATAAAGCACAAGGCTCTAACGGCTGAACTGAAAATAGGATTTACTTAGGAAGCGTTAGGCCCAATAATTGAAGGCCTTGAAAAATCAGGCCAATTATTTTGGTCTTGAGATAGCAGACGATGGAGAGGAGTTGAAGATTTACAAGGCAATAGAATACAAGATGATGTGATCATTTAAAAAAATTAGATGGGCAACAGCATGCTGACCAGACCAGACAGAGGAGCCATTTTATTCATTCATTCATTCATTCATTCATTCAGCAAATATTTATTGAGGTCTTACCAAGAGCCAGGCTTGGGAGGCCAGCTCAGAGGCTGCTCCACTACTGGAGAGAGGAAGGGCAAGGCTCAGGATCAGAACAGAGGGAGGGATCTATACACAGCACATCTCAAAGGTCTTGATGACTCACTGATATAAAGGATGAAGAAGATGGAGGAAGAGATGGTTAAAGTTAAATTCCAAAGTTTCAAGACTGAAATTACTTCCATCTTTACTAGGTCCCTCGAAAAGTAATAAGAATACGACACACAACAAAAAGTATAAAAAAGGGTTTGATAATTTTTGTTTTAAAGGGAGCAGCTTTGATGATGCTGAATAGTCAACAAATGAAACCCCAAGTGGCCCATTCTTTATCCTGGTAGCTCATTTTGCACATATTCTGTAGGTGAGAGACTTTGGTGACACACACACACACACACACACACACACACACACACATTCCTCTGTGACTAAATGCTGAGTTCCCTTGGCAAGGATTACAGGGGTCTGCCTACTCAGACCAGCTCCATCAACCCTCCAACACACCCCTCCACCATCTGACACTAGACCAGTCTCATTAAGAAACGTGGCTGCCCCACTCCTGCGAAGCCACCAGTTCTGACTTTGGATTAGAGAAGGCAACAAGGCAATGTGGAAAGGGGGAAACAAAAAGTGGGCAGGGCCACTGCAAGTTTTGTACAAGTACGGGTCCTCAAGTAGACCTCAAGCAGATAGAAAAGCCTTAAACACTCTTTATCAAATTACAGGGCTTTGTTGAGAAACTATTTCAAATGTGCATATTTATGCATATATTAACTTCTAGCACAGATGGCATATGACTGAGACACAAATTCTTAACAATTTATATGATGACTACGTAAGTTTAAAGCTCATTTTAATGTTATATTCAGCAATGGTACAATTCACTATTGGGGTCACATCCTGAAGGCCCACTCACTGGAAAATGTGAGAAATGAAAACTGTAACTATCAAACTTCTATTATTACAAAGAGTGCTCCAGGCCAAAATAAAAAACACAAGCACAGTACCTTAGAGCAATCAGCCCAGCATGCAAAACTCAAGGTGGTATTCTCTCAGCATAGTCAAGCTTTGGCAACAGCAAATATTCCTTTTATTATAAGTGAAAATAAGTACTCTTTTGTGTAGAATGATGCATTAAACTACTTTAAATATAAACCTAAAAGTAAGCCTTTAATGTTAAAGTGTCAAAGTCAAACTTTAAAATGTACGTTACAAAAGAAATGATTGTTCTGGAAAAATCCCTCAATGTCCTTCTCATAACATCTACTCAGACCAGTAAGAAAGAAATTAGAGCAAAAAGAAACCAGTGAAAAATGGTTGCACGTAAGTGTATGAGGATTCTTGCTCAGACCCCTTCCGGGACAGCCAAGGGCCTAGTCAGGAAAATTCCAAGAGCAACTCCTTCACAGCCCCCCAAAAGGGGCTTCAAATCAGGCAAGGCTCATCCTCCTCTTTAAGACTAAACGGTAAACACCAACCACAACCTTACAGACTCCGAGAAACGCGAGTTTTCACGCCAGGAGGAAGAGATCCACATGATCGCGAAAAGAAACTGCAGCCCATTAACCTCTTTCCTCCCCTCCGTTCCTTCGCAGGGCCACCAGACAGGGGTTCCTCCGCAGCTCCAGTCCACCACCCCAAGTGACAGGTCACGAGCAGAAGCCCTTAAATCCCTGACTCCCACTTACTGGCCACGAACGCAGGCGGGGGCCCGCCACTGCGGTGAACGCAGCTCCTCGGCCAGCGGGGCGCAGCAGCCCGCTCGGAAACTGGAAATGGAGGCGAACCCTGCTAGGAGAAGTCGAGGGGTCCTTGCAGGGACGCCTGGGAGGTCCCGCGAGTCGCTCGGGCCGCGCGGCGCATGGCAGTGCAGCAGGAACCCGGCCGCTTTCCAGCCTCCGGCAGGAAAACAAACAAAAGGCAGGGTGGCTTCTAGTGGGGACGACCGGCTGCTTTCCCTGGGAAAAGTTACCCTGCAGCTCCCCTCGCTGGCCATGCGCGTTCCTGCACCGCGGCCAGGCAGCCCAGGCGGCGTGGAGCCGCTCTGAGCGCTCTTGGCAAAGGGCAGGACAGAGCCCAAGATCCCTGCAGCGAGCCCACCATAAATATGACCTCCAACGACCGGCTGTATCAAGTATAAAAATTTAGAAATGGAACGTGTGGATGCATGCTCTGAGAACATTTAACCAAAGGTAATCATGGTGAGAACATTTTTCTGATTTGAAAAAACGCAACTCTTTACCTGGTAGCATTCATTTGAACTTTAAGAGTTTTTATTTTGTTAGCAACTTTAGATTGGAAGACTGGATTGTTATCTTGGTAGGAAACTGACAAGATATCTTCCACACAATTGTCCTTCCATGTGTAGCTAGTTATATGAACACCACATACTTTTAAAACACTTTCATTTATGTCGTAAGTGCTATTGGAGAGGAGACATTACCTTAAACCATCCATATAAGGCCTTTCCTCAAAGTTTTGAGGGGCCAGGTTTAAATTTATATAATTGCTCTTAACCAATGGTTCTCAAATTTTATCTTGAAGCACCAGAATCACCTGGAGGTCTTTTAAAACAGATTCCTGGGACCCATCCATAGAGTTTCTGCTGCTGATGCTGCTGGCCAGGGAACCACACTTTGGGAACCAAAGCCCTAAACTACAAAGTTTAATTAATAAGGCAGTAACCCTTTCACTATGGAACTGACTCAATAGCAATGGGGGTAAACCCTTTAACACGGAAAAAAGGCTTGGCAATCTGCCAGTGAAAACCCTATGGATCACAACAGTCCAATCCAGTTGTATATCAGGTCACCATGCGTCAGGCGCAGCCACCACAACAACCCTTTAACACAACTGTGGCTCCTTCTCTGAGTTTAAATCTCCCAGCTTATCACCATATCAATTTTTCTCTATTTTTAATTTTGAATTCTATGGCTAATGAAAATAGAAAATTGTTATCAATGAAAGGATAGGAAGACAAGTAGGACCCTAACCAATCATCCTCAAATTCTTAAGGTCTAATACTAACTATGGAAACCCTGGTGGCATAGTGGTTAAGAGCTATCGCAGCCTCTGCTAACCATAGAGGTCACCAGTTTGAATCCACCAGGGGCTCCCTGGAAACCCTGTGGGGCAGTTCTACCCTGTCCTATAGGGTCAGCTATGAGTCGGAATCGACTTCATGGCAACGGGTTTGGGGTTTTTTGGTTTATTCCTTAAAGGAAACTGTTGTGGCCTAGGGGTTAAGAGCTATGGCTGCTAACCTAAAAGGCTGGCAGTTCAAATCTACCAGGTGCCCCTTGGAAACTCTATGGAGCAGTTCTACTCCGTCCTATAGGGTCCCTATGAGTTGGAATCCACTCGATGGCAATGGGTTTGGTTTTGGTATTCCCTTAAAAGACGATTTTTAAAGTAAATTAAAACTCTTAGTTTTACTTAGTCCAATTATGTTGTCCAAACAAGTCTACGTGGCAAATAGAAGGGACTGTCTTGGTCTACTTTTAGCAAGGCTCCACTGGGCTGGAAAGTGTCTTGGGACAGAAGTTCTGGCCTTGGGAAAATTATAAACGTGTAAATATAATATGGAGCCCTGGTAGAGCAGTGGTTAAGAGCTCTGGCTGCTAACCAAAAGGTTGGCAGTTCGAATCCACCAGCCGCTCCTTGGAAACCCTGTGGGGCAGTTCTCCTCTCCCCTATATGGTTGCTATGAGTTGGAATACACTCGACAGCAACCAGGTTTGGGTTTTTGTTGTTGTTGTTAAATATAATATAATGAGATAATATAACCTGGTAAAGAGGTCTAGTGAACACAGGAGAACTGATTTGAAATAGAAAATTAGTAGCCGTAAACCTAAGTATTTTTAAAAAATATGTGCTCGATTTGTCTTTACAAGTGTTTATTATTTTATTAGGCTTTATTATTTAATTACTAGCTAGAATAATAAAGATTATCTGTGCTAATTGACCAGGATGTCTTAAATTAGCAGTGAACACATTTAAATAAATAGAGTAATTCTGAAAATATTTCAATATCCCATTATTCTCTTGCAGAACTAATCTTTTGCATTCACGAGTCACATTTATAATTTTCTTCTGTTGTAAGTCCTTATGTTTAACCCTTCACCCCTTTAAATTTCAAGATCTAAGTTTAAATAGGTCGTTGGGAGGAAATCATCTTTAAAAGATCTATAGCCTGGAGTCTCCTTTAAAAACTCCATTAAACATAACGATACTTTCTATGGGTAGCTAATTTAGGGTGCACATAAAAACGCACCCATCCAAAAGGTGGATGCTAATATTAAAACACGGCATTCATAGCTTTCTTATTGTAGCTCACCATTCTATCCCTTTCCTTTTTTTTTTTTTTTGCATCCATTCCCCTGTCGAGAATGAACTGCGCTTCTAAGCTTTCCAAAATAAAATAATGGATTAGAGATTAAAACGCTGTGAGCTTGTTGAACGTAGGGTTTTCGAATCCTGTTGACTATTGTTAGTCTCGGGCACCTAGAAGAAACTTTAGACACTCAGTATATGTTTATTGAATAAAGATAAGAGGCTCTAACGACTATGGGTTTTCATATAACATGCAAACTTCTGTACTTAAAAAAATTTTACGTGTGGAAAAATAAAATACCGTCGGATCAATAAGAGGACCTTCAGCTGAAGTAAAATAAGGCATTTGTGCATTTGGGCTTTAAGAGGTGGGGCGAGGGCCGTGTGTAAATTTCGGCGCGCAAGGCGGGCCATGGGACTACAAATTCCAGAGTGCCATGCGAGCGCGGTCTCCGCAGGACTCGGGTTTCGGGGCCTGGAAGCCGCTGTTCCCCCAGTTACAGGATGGGATTTGTAGTGACAGACGCGTCGCCTTAGGCTGAGTGCACCCCCTGCCGCTCTCCAAGCGCATTTTTTATTAACCCCCCCGAGTCTACCTGTGTTCTCAAAGAGTTTAATCGTTCATAACAGTCTTTCCCTATGACGGAGTCTCACTGTTTGCCAGCATTCCTGGCGCCAAACTAATCAGAGTCGCCGAGGACCGTGCGGCGACTGTCCCGAACGCCCAGTCTGATGCTCTTTAGGTCGGCTTGTAGCACGGCCGGGTCTCAGCACTAAATTTGGGTTACAGATATTTTTGAAATAATGTGTGTGCACGTATGCATAAGCCGTGTCCACTGAACTGACTTCGTGGGTTGAATTTGGGGTTCAGGAAAGTGATACCCTTACCCCCAGGGCTGGCTCGCGCACGTAGTAGGCCCACGTCTCTTCAAACGCCCCTAGGCGGCGCGCGCGGGGCTGGGGACCCGAGCCGCGCACGCGGGCGGGCGGTGGCGGCACTGCGCATGCTGGGTGCGCCGGCGCAGTTTTCCGCAGCAGAAGGGGAGCTCCGCATCGGTGTCTGGAGTCTCCATTAGGGCCGACGCTCCAGTACTCCCACAGTTCTCGGTCTCGGCTGGCAGCGGGCGCTTCTCTCGCTCCCCGAGTCCTCCGGCCGCCGCCTGCGCGCCTCAGTCTGGCCCCCTGCCCAGCGAAAATGGCTGCCGTACGCCGGGCCCGCAATTACTGCCGCTGCCTGGTGCGCTTCTCCGACCGAGAACTCTGCTAAGCCCCTCTGCAGCAAACAGGCAGGAGTAGACACCCGGACACCCAATACCCCTCACCAGAGGGGGCGGTGTAGAGGGGGCGCGGAGAGCCCCTCGACCGCGGGCGACCGCCCCGCCAGCATGGTAACCTGAGGAGGGGGCACGGGAGTAAACTGGAGGGCGGGAGCGGTGTTCGGGGCGGGGGGCAGGCCTGGGGAAAGCCGCGAGAGAACAAAAAGGGGAGACTGGGAGGAGTGGGAGATGCACGGCCGCCCCCATTACAGGAGCACCTGGCCAGAGAGTGGAGGCGGTGCCCAGCTCTGACCGCTCCCCAGGCTTCCTTCCTGCTGATTCCCCCCATGCCGCGCGAGGAGGGGACAGGATTTGCTAGACAGACGATAAAACGCTTCTTCTAGACCGACTGAGGATATTGAGCCAGTGAGCATTGAAGGGAGCAGTCGTAGCGTCTGAAATAGGGGAAGAACCTTGGCATGCGGAGACACTTGTTGATTGCTCCCCCTAGGGAAAGCTGTGCCCGTTGAGAAGCCGTTCCGGCCCCTTAAGGAGGCCTGGGTTTAGGACGCACCTGCCCCGTGAGGCGTCAGTGCCTTGGGGATGTGTTGACAGGCGGTCTTGGCAGCGTGAAGTTGGAGGTATTGTGTCTCACTTCACAGCAGTGAGGGCCCGAGCAGCGGCAGTGCTCTCCAAATGAGGGGACTCAGCTAAGCTCCAAGAGTTTGGCAGCGCCAATTCCCTGGGACTGTTGCATGCTGGAATATGTAGTTTTTGCCCTATGCGTTTTTTTTTTTTTGTGTGTGTGCAAGTTAAATGCCTCTCTTTGACTTCGAGATCTGAGATACCAACCTCTGGCCAGGGTTGAATGTCAAGGATGAAATGATCCAGGGATAGATTAACCAGTAAGCAAGGTACTGCCTTGTGGCTCAGTGGTTAAACTGCTCGGCTGGTAACTTAAAGGTCAGCGTTGGAACCCATCAGCTGCTCTGTGGGAGAAAGATGTGGCAGTCTGCTTCCTTAAAGATTTAGAGCCTTGGAAACCCTTTGGGGTAGTTCTGTTCTATAGGGTCACTATGAGTTGGAATTGACTTCATGGCTGTGGGTTTGGTTTTTTTGAGGGATTTTAAGATCTGCACGGGCTTACTTGTGTTTAGTTACTAATCTGTAGTGAACAGTTTCACATGGTTTTCACCACATCAAGAAAAACAGGAGAAATTGTGCACTACAGATTAGGAAGTAAGGGTACCTTGCTTATTGGGTAATCTGTCTGTGTCTGATACGAAACTAATTAGTTCATAGTAGACACTCAGATTATTTATTGAATAAATGAAAGGTTGAATTTTTAAATTTAATCTGTGCATTGCAGTGAATTACTTAATGTGGCCCTTCTAGCCATAGTCTTTGTAACTCCCATCAGGTGACTGGGTGGGACTATGCAAATGAGGTGCTAGTGGCCCACTGAGGAGATTGGATAGTTTGCTAATAATGTAAATAAGATGCATGGCACCCTTGTGGGGGTGGGACCATGCAAATAAGGTGTATGGAACCCTAACAGTGGATTGTTCAGTTTTTGCTATCCCACTGGGCTTAAGGGGAGACACGAGGGGGAGAGAGAGAGAGACGGGAGATGTAACACAGAAAACAGAACGGGGGCGGGGGTGGAGCGGGGCTGTAACCAGAAGATGGAGGCAGCAGTACCAGAAGGGAGAGGGAGAACTGTTACACCAGAGACAGCAAGAAATGGTGGCAGCAGGACAAGAGCAAGAGAGCTGAGCGCCTTTGGGCAGGAGGCTTCCTGGCAGAGTGGGGTGCCTCTGGGCATTAATTAGCGGAGCTAAAAGAGCTTTGTAACACTTGCCCGAGGTGCCAAGGGCCAGAGAGAGGCCTGCCTGCAGCACGGCTTAGAAGAGGCTGCCCTGATGGAAGTACTGTATCCTAAACTGAGCATTCCTGAACCTGAATTGTAACCATTCCTTCCCTAATAAACCGCAGAACTGAGTGTATGGTCTGTGAGTTCTGTGTGGCCATTGCAGAACCTAGCAGAGAAGTAAAGTGTGCCATGGGAGGGACAGTAGGTGTCAGAATTGGTAAAAAGGCTGAAGGGTGGAGTCATGTCTGACCTCCACCTCATAGGAATCAGCCTTGGGCTGTGGATACTGATAATGATTCTTCCCCTTATGAAATTAGAGGAGATCAGAGGCTGCCACCAAGCCATTTTTACACTCTGGAAGTAGAAAAAGCACTCGTTGACTTTGCCCCTAAACTTTCACAAGTAATTCTCTGACCAGGATTAAGCACTTAATCTTATAATTAACCCCATCTGTGAAACAGGAGTAAATGATGAATACATGAGTTATTCAAATGAAAGGTGATGATTAGGTCAAACTCTTATGAAAAAATAAATGATAAAATTATAATCTCTGGGGAACAGCTGAGTTCTACTCATTTCAAGTGTTATTTGATTTGATAAAAGTATAATAAAACCCCACATTTGATAGTTTGTTAGTATTTTTGTGGTTATATTTAAACTGTCAAAAATCAAAATAATAATGAATTAGAACTCTGTTACAACAGGGAGCTCAGGGGAGAAGAAAAATGAATAGAAGTAGCCAAGTGAGGAAGGAGGAAAAGGCATTCCATATGGAGAGAGCATGGGAAGCCCTTGAAATAAAGCAGTTTAGTATGACTGCTAGCAAGAGTTAGAAGGCTAAATAAGAGCCTTGAAAGTTATCCTGGGGAACTCAAGTCTTCTCTCATTAGCTGTACTTAATAGTTAACGGTAATAAATTAGACTCTTATTTGAGAAGAAAGAAATACACTTCTCAGTGGGATCTATAAGTTCTAAGTCCTTTATTACTGTAAAACCTGTGAAAGACAGAACTTGTGTAAGATGGAAACCTGTCAGAGAAGGAAAAGTTAGATATTTTCCACTAATAAAGAGCAATAGAAAAATGGTAAGACTGCATCCTGTCAAAGGCGGAAAACTTGTGAGACCCAGAAAAAACAAGGCAGTCCTGTCGAGTTCCAGCTCTCACAGGTTTCACTGTATATATTTTGACTACTAATGATGTTCCTAGTAAGAAAAGCTTCCAGCTTAAAGAGACTCAAAAAAGTACACTTGACAGTATTTTAAGTGATTACATCTTCTGGTAAGCTCAATTTTCTGGAAATTCTTCTGTGTTCTTGGCCTCATTTATTTATTCATTGATTTAGCCTTTATAGTGTACCAAGCACTGTACCATGTCCTAACTAGTGTAAGCTGTAAAGGCACTTCTGCTTTGAGCCTGGTTGCCAGAGATAAGATAGGAAACAAGACTGACTTATGTTGAGCTGTAAAATAGTGGAAGTATATGTGGTTGCTGCATTCAAAAGATTTGTGGTAACATGAACAGTTTTGCCCTGGAAATAAACTTCTCAAGTAAAATTTTCAGCTTACCGTCAGTTTGTGGCTTACCATCTTTAGAACTAGCAAAGTTAAGTAGGCTTTATTATTTTATTTCTGGCTACTGTCAAGGTCATTTCCCTGATTGCCACATTTCTTCATAGAACATGTTAAATGTTGAGCAAGTTCAGTTTGCCAGTAAGTCTATTAACAGATTTATCTGAGGGAACATTTCCTTTTCACTGGGTGGTAGGATTCTGTTTAATTTAGTAAACATTTATTGAGAATAAAAGGATAAAATGAAGGAGTCTGACCTGAGACCTCTTTTAAGCCCCAAGCCATGCACAGTAATTCCACTCCAGCTTTATACTACTTTAAGCCAATCTAATATATAAAAATCTGGATTTATAAAAGAGATAAAATAGAAGGGCTTCTTTACAAAAGCACTCACTATTGCATGTCTTTGACTAAAGAGCTTTTCTAGTGCATTTAAAATATTAAACAGACCAAAGTCATATATTCACATAGAACACATAGAATAGCATGCCAGTTTTGTAAAAGGAGGAGGTACATTTAAGTATGGATTATTGTCTTTTAAGTGATCAGTGAAGCAAAATCCATCAGTTGAACTCTATACCACAACTAAATGTTTTGGATTTTTTTAACAGACTACCAAAACGTTTCAAACTGGAGCCTAGTGTATCAGATTTTACCTGATTGGAATCACTAAATTTACCTGCTGAGAAGATATCTAGAGAGAAGTAACTATATACTTCCTTGGCATGAAACCTACAGTATTTTCTGTTTTGGTAATTGCTGAAATTTATGAACACTAAAATTATTTGGGCTTGGTTTTTTGTTTTGTTTTACCTCAGTTGGACTCAAACACTTACGTTTGGAACATCTGCTGTAACACTTTGGCAACTGCATTTCAAAACATTTCCTGCTGGGAAATATAACATTACCTGTAAGGTAGTCTTCCTCCTTCTGGAAAAAAAAAACAAACAACCAACCTATGACTCCTTATCTAATCAAACCTCTCTAGATCCAGCTACAGTTTACAGGAAATAAGAAGACAAAAGGAACATATTTACTAACACCTCGGCAAAATCCAGACAGTGGGAGACTACAGAAAAAAATGACCTGGTTCATCAGCAAATAAATCACAAGAAAAAAAGCAAGTGAGAGGAGAGGAAACGTTTAAATTACAATAGAGTTAAGAGATATATCAACCAGATGCAATATGTGAACCTTATTTGAATCTTGATTGCACAAACTGTAAAATATATGTATTTTACACATACAACATTTTGAGAAATTGGTAATATTAATACTGTCTGACTAGGTATTTGATAGCAAAGCATTATTTTTTACATTGATAATTATTGAAGTGGAGTCATGGGTACTTGAGGGTTAATTTACCATTCCTTTTAATATGTTTAAATGTTTTTCTTAGTAAAAGTTAAAAAATTCACACTTCTTTTGTGGTAGAATTAAAAAAGAAAACCAAAGGCCCAAATCCTTTTTTCTGTATTTTAATGTTGAGGAAAAAATATATATAATCTTTAACAACTGATAGAACTTTCAGTTTCTTAGAGATTTACTTTGATAATGCATTTCACTGCTCTAAGCAGTCAAAAATGCATTCAACCAATGAAAAATTGGTGTATGTAGTAGACGAGGATCAACTTCGGTGAAGGGAAGGACAAAACACAATTCAGGGGACGTCTGTACAACTGGACCGAAGCAAAAGCTAAGAAGTTTCCTGGACACATCCAAACACTTTGAGAGAGAGAGTAGCTGGGGCTGGGGCCTGGGAACCATAGTTTTGGGGAACATCTAGGTCAATTGGCATAACAAAGTTTATTAAGAAAATATTCTGCATCCCACTTTGGTGAGTGGCGTCTGGGGTCTTACAAGCTTGCGAGCAGCCATCTAAGATACATCAGTTGGTCCCATCCCACTTACAGCAAAGGAGAATGAAGAAAACCAAAGACATAAGGAAAATATTAGCCTAAAGGACCACATGAACTAGAGACTCCACCAGCCTGAGACCAGAACTAGATGGTGCCCAGCTACCACCGATGACCACCCTGACAGGAAACACAACAAAGAGTCCCAGACAGAGCAGGAGAAAAACGTAGAACAGAACTCAAATTCAAGTAAAAAGACAAGACTTGGTGGTCTGACAGAGACTGGAGGAACCCTTGGAACTATGGCCCCCAGACACATGGTTAACCCAGAACTGAAACCATTCCTGAAGCCCACTCTTCAGACAAAGATCAGACAGAACTGTAAAACAAAAAGTAATGCACGTGAGGAATGTGCTGCTTAGTTCAATCAGATACATGAGACCAAATGGGCAGCTCCTGTCCAAAAGCAGGATGAGAAGGCAGGAGGGGACAGGAACTGATCGAATGGACACAGGGAACCTGGGATGGGAAAACGGAGTGTGCTGTCACATTGTGGGAATTGCAACTTATGTCACAAAGCAGTATGTGTGTAAATTTTGGTATGAGAAATTAACTTGAGCTGTAAACTTTCATCTGAAGCACAATTTAAAAAAAATATTGGTTATGTTTTGCTGTGTATATTCTCAATAGCAACAAAATGAATAAAATTTGGGGGGAAAAGCCAGGAGAAAATGAGCTCCTTGGAATCCAAAGGAGGCGAATTTCAGGAAGGAGATGATGGTTAATGAGTCAGTGGCACACAGAAAAGGGTGCCTCAGATAACTGCTGACTTTAGCAAGAAGGGGTGGTGGGTCAGGAGCCATGTTAAAATTGGTTGAGAAGTGAATGGGAGGGAGGGAAAGGAGACAAGGCCAGTAGGTCCCAACCTAGGGTCTGCCAACAGGTGCTGGGCTGGTTCACCTGGGGAGTTTGTCAAAAATACAGATCCCTGGAGCCAGCAGACCTGGGTTTGAGACCTAGCTCTGCTTCTTAATAGTTATGTAAACTAGGGCAAGTTTCGTACAGTTTCATTAACCGTTAACTATAAGTCATACTACCTATAATATAGGGTTCTTGAAAAGACTGAACTAGTTAATGAATGAAGCATAAAAAAAATGCATTAAACTAGAAGAAAAACTGAAAATAATTTATTATAGATTATCAGTAAATAGTTAATGTGATGTGTATTGATGAAGGAGTTGGCTCCATTTATACCATTACGTTAATCATATCAAATGATTTATGAATAGTAATGAGCTTCGAATGATATTTTCTATAAGATTTGATTTTTAGATGAACAGATACTGATGTTAAATTTTGAGGGGAAGATGTTAAGATTCACAGTGATATTAATACTGTGTTTTGAAAGAGAGGATATGCTTTTCAGACTCATTTTTCTTTAGAAATAAATAGTAAGGTCCCAGATGCAATCTAGAGCCCTGCTACTCAAAGTGAGGTGCTCAAACTTGACATTATGGTACTAAATAGCAAGTAGCTGATAGGAGATGTAGGTTACAAAAGGAAATTAGTGATTGCAAATTCTTGAACATTATTTTGGTTTTCTTTTCTTTAGGCAGAAGCTGAGGAAGACTGTCACTCTGAGTCTGTCAGAGCAGAAGATGATGAAAAGGAAAGCCCAGCTGAAACAGATCTGCAGGCATGTTTCTTAAATTGTATATTCTTCTTTCCTTGCTTTCCATGCATACACAGAGATTGGTCATAATTATGAAGATTTGTGGGTTTTTGTTTGCATTGAATTAACTTTATTTTCTTACCAGTTTATAAAATACTGAAATTATAACTATGTTTTAGATTTCTTTTTCTGTAAAAAGAAATATCAATCATTGCTGACTTGTAGCTTGATATATGGGTTTAAAGTATTCAAACCAAAGCCCATAACCTTAAAGAAAAGATTGACAGATTTGATACCTGTAAGTTTAAGATCTCTGTATATAACAAGAGGTATCATAAAGAGAAACAGTCACCCAGAAACACTGTTCACCACATATGGACAGAGGATTGATATCTTCAATATACAGAGCTTTCTTATGGGTTACTAAGAGTAACACATAATAGAAAGATATGAATGGACAGTCAGTGGAAAAAATAATATAAATGACTATTAAACATTTGAAGAAATTAGTCTCATTAGTAATGAAGAAAAGCTGTGGTTGTGCAATGGTTAAGTACTCAGCTGCTAACCAAAAGTTTGGTGCTTCGAACCCACCAGCTGCTCTGTGGAAGAAAGACCTGACTATCTGTTCCCATAAAGATTACAGCCAAGAAAACCGGATGGGACAGTTCTCTGTCACATGGGGTCCCTATGAGTTGAAATCTATTTGACAGTACCTAACAACAATAATGAAAAAAATACAAATTAAGTCTACAATGGATATTTTTAAAAAATAATCAGGTTAGTGAATAATGCTCATTGCTATCCAGGTTGTGAAGACCTGATGCAGTATACATGAAAGCATAAATTGCTGTAATTTTTCTGGAGGGTAGACTGGCAATATGTGTCAAAATGGAAAACATACATTCTCTTTTATCCAGCAATTCTGCTTCTGGAAAGTTGATCCTAAATAATGGGGAAAGTGAGTAAATTTACTTGTACAAAGATGTTTATTATGGCATTGCTTACATGGCAAAATGGAATGCAACCTGAATATATATCACTCGTATTAATTAATGGGAGTCCTGGTGGTGCAGTGGTTAAGGGTTTGGCTGCTAACCAAAAGGTTGGCAGTTCAAATCCACCAGCTGCTCCTTGGAAACCATATGGAGCAGTTCTACTCTGTTGTATAGGGTCACTGTGAGTCGGAATCAGCTCAGTGGCCACAGGTTTGGTTTGGGTTTTTGTGTTAATTAATGATGCATTCAGTGAAATACACTGCAGCCACTTAAAAGGTTGAGGTCAATTTTTATACATTGAAAAATATTCTCTGTAATTAGTTGAGTGTGTCTCACTTATTTTTTTAATTTTTTTTTTTTTTGTCTCACTTATTTAAAAAAAAAGTTGTCTTCAAGTCAACTTACTGTGACCCTATGTGCTGCAGAGTAGGCTCCATAGGGTTTTCATGGCTGGGACCTTTCAGAAGCAGATCACCAGGTCTTACTTCCAAGGAGCCTCTGAGTGGTTTCGAACTGACAACCTTTCGGTTAGAAGCTGAGCACTTAACCATTTGTACCACCCGGGGACTTACTTAACGTATAAGCTTTCTAATATTCGTTTATTTGGAATACATCATCTAGTCGATGGTGCGAGTGCTGCTAAAGATTCTGTAGATCAGAAATGTGTGTGTTGTGTGTTAGAGGAGGGAGGGTGTGAACGGTGTACAGAATGTATTGACAAGTTATTTCTAAAATTTTATATCTATGTATCTTTTAATTTGTATTTTATACGTGCTGTCTTTTTTAAGCCAAGAATAATATACACATTACTGTTAGCAGTGGCCTGCTTTGGGAAGAAGGCTATCCTGAGTTCCCTGGGAAGGCAGCTCTGAGGTGGAGATTATCATGCAGGAGGTTTATTAGGGAATTAACCCAGTCAGGTTCTCTAGATAAGCCGAACCAGCGAGATTCATAAATATATTTATAGATTTAAAAAAAAAACCAAACCCGTTGCATCGAGTTGATTCCAACTCATAGCGACCCTGTAGGACAGAGTAGAACTGCTCCGTAGGGTTTCCAAGGAGCGACTGGTGGATTTGAACTGCTGACCTTTTGGTTAGCAGTCGTCGCTCTTAACCACTGTGCTACCAGGGCTCTATATGTATAGATAGATAACCATATTTTTATGCAGATAATGCACGACTTCTCCCTTCGTTTGCCAACTGTGCCTTCCCCCCCACCGCAAAGTATTTTTCTAAGTGCCACTATGCCGATTTTGTTTTACATGTTGCTATAAAAATGTTAGCATAGCATGCTTACAAAAATACCTCACGGGGTGCGGTTGGCAAACAAACATAGAAGGTGCACGTTATTTGCATAAAAATACAGTAGATATATAGATATAAAGATACATACATAGAGATTAATTTACTTCAAGGAATTGTAAGGGGCTGGCGAGTCCAAAATCTGTAGATCAGGCAACAGACTGGAGACTACTGCAGGCTTACATCCTAACCTCCGTAGGTCAGGTGACAGGAAAAGTGAGGTGAGAATTCTGCCAAAATAATATTTTTATAGTCTAGAGGTAGAACACATCCTAGGGAAACTGTTTTTGCTCTTAATAGGTCTTCAGCTTATTAATTGATTATATTACTTGTGATTACATTACGTTAGATGTAAAGTTATTACATTACAGTATTGAAGGTGATCTGTTTTACTTAAGGTGAACTGATTTAATCTCATGTAACTACTCCATAATTAGCAACTAGACTAGTATTTGGCCAGACGACCGGGAGCTATACCCTAGCCGAGTTGACACAGACAATTAACCAATACAAGTGTGCTCTTGGAATCAACACCTGTGGAAGGAAGGGAAGGAAGCAGGAGTGGGTAGAGGGAGAGGTTAAGTTGCAATGCCATCTAAATGGAATGCTTTAGCTGATGCTGTGGGGAGTTCACAGATGGAATAACCCTTCAGAGTTGGCCTGAATTACAGTGAAAGGGCCAGGCCTTGAGCAGTCATTGGGTAGGGGTCACGTGGGAAGGTGCTGTGATCTTGCTGAGGGAGTGCTCTTAGGCTGAGGCAACAGCCAAAGAGGCTGCCCACTGAGGGCTGTTATTCAGTAACACTTCCAGCATTGGGGTGATAAGTTCTTCATTCCTGAAGGGGGATTTGGGCAGCACATCAGAGCTCACCACACTTTCTGTATTTTTAAATGATATGTATTAGAAAAACAAATCCTTTTTTAGTAAAAGAATATTTATTAAAAGAAAGACATTGGGCTCACCTGCAGAGTTTTTAGCAGCGCTCTTAATGTCTACTAGATGATTCATTCCAAATAAATATTTAAAAGCTTATGAATTCATCCCTAAGTGATGGCCTGTATTTTAATTCTAATTAAAATTTGATGTGCCAATACCATTAGCCTTTTGAGGTGTTTTGTTGTTGTGTGTTGTCTATTCCAACATCATAGTGACCCCATGTGACAGAGTAGAGCTTCCCCATAGGGTTTCCAAGGAGCAGATTGCCAGGTCTCTTCTCCCATGGAGCTGCTGGTGGGTTCAAATTGCCGACCTTTCGGTTAGCCGCCGAGCGCTTAACCGTTGTACCACCAGGGCTCCTTTTTTGAAGTATAGACAAACTTACTTTAGGCTTTGGCTTTTAGGCAAATTTTTATTATTTCTTTAAAGTTTTAAGCAGAAAATTATTTTAAAAGGTAATAGGTGTTTAAAGGGTTTTAATTTAGTAATTTAAAAAGAGTGTTTTTTGGTCTTAGAATTTCTAATAAGTATATAAATGGAAATACATGTCAGACATATTGATAAATTGCTCCAGAGTTGAGCAATTGAGTCCTAAAATACTTTTCTCCCCTTAGGCGCAACTCCAGATGTTCCGAGCTCAGTGGATGTTTGAGCTTGCCCCCGGCGTAGGCTCTAGCAGTTTAGAAACTCGACCTTGCAGAGGCTCAGCAAGAGGCTCTTTACTGAAAGCAGATACCAAAGGAAAGCAAGAACTGGCAAAAGAGGAAAAGTTAAGTATTATGGACATTGCTGCCTCAAACATGCATCTACTGAAAGTGACAGCTGATGACGGCTCACACTGCCTCACGAGCTTTAAAACTTACCAGGGAGTCTGTCTAACCATAGTCTCCCTTGTAATAAATTTTACCCCCCACGTAAAAATTTTAATTGGCATAAATAAGGAACCATTATAGTTGTTCTGTGATAATATGAGTACATAACTTGTAAAATCACTATTTTTCTCATCTGGAAGAATTTTGACAAGTATGCCAGTTTATACACCTCTCCCTCACTGCCACTGCGTCTGGCTACTTCAGATGATACTACTACTCTGCATGGCTTCTTTCCTGTGGGTGCACTATCTTCCAGCTCTTCATCACACTGTCTTCTGTCAATTTATAGACCCCTGAGATTCAGTTGGTCTCTAAAAGCTGGATGCCTCTGAATTTATTAACTGAACCCCAAAAAGGGAGGAAGAAAAGTTCAGATGTTAGTACCTTTTCCAAAAGTTTTAACTTAATGCAATATTTTATTATATTTTGAGTTGAACACATTTACAATTATTTCATTAATGTGTTATTTTCTTGGTCATCTAGTGCTGCTATAACGGAAATACCGCAAGTGGATGGCTTTAACAAAGAGAAGTTTATTCTCTCACAGTCCAGTAGGCTAGAAGTCCAGATTCAGGGCATCAGCTCCAGGGAAGTCTTTTTGTCTCTGTCGGCTCTGGAGGAAGGTCTCGGAGTCTCCCCTTGGTCTGGGAGCATCTCAGTGCAGGAACCTCAGGTCCAAAGGACGAAGTCTGCTCCCGGCAATGCTTTCTTGGTGGTGTGAGGTCCCCATGTCTCTCTGCTCCCTTCTCTGTTTCATATCTCAAAACAGATCGGCTTAAGACACTATCTAATCTTGTAGATCTTATCAGTATAACTGTCGCTAATCCATCTTATTACATCATAGCGATAGGATTTACAACCTGTAAGGAAATCACATCAGATGACAAAATGGTAGACAGTCATACAGTGCTGGGAATCATGACCCAGCCAAGGTGACAGATATTTTGGGGGGACACAATTCAATCCATGACAGTTAAATTTCCTAATTTTGGAAAGTTTTGAAAGTTCTTACACTGAAAAAATTTTGAATGCTGCCTTATCGTTCACCTCTTTCCTCATACTTCTTCATGTGAAATAGGCACAGGACACTTCCCACTTTTCATTATTCTCCTATTCCATAGAGACTGACATCCTCACATCATCAGATTGTGGGTTTTGTTTACAAATAATTTGCTATTAAGTAAGCGACATTACTGTGATAACTAAAAACTTCCAGTTTTAACTTTCTATTTTGAAATAAAATTCACAGGTACAGAGAAGTCCCCTACACCCTTTACCCAGCCTTTCCTGATGGTAGTATCTTGTATAACTGTAGTACAATATCAAAACCAGGAAATAGATGTTTTTACAATCCATAGAGCTTATTCAGATTTTCCCACTCTTACAAGCACTCATTTTTGTCTGTGTGTGTATATAGTTCTAGGCAGTTTTATCCCATGTGTAGCTTTGTGTAACCACCAGGATGATCAAGATACAAAACTGTTACATCACCACAAGGCTCCCTCATGCTGCTATACCTTTAGAGTTATACTCACCCCTCTCCACCTCCCAGTTCCTAACCCTGGCAACCACTAATCTGTTCTCCAGCTTTATGATTTTGATATTCCAAGACTGTTGTATAAATGAAATCATATATAACCATTTGAGGTTGACTTTTTAACTCAGCATAATTTGAGGTCCATCCCAGGTGTGTATATCAAGTTTTTTCCTTTTTATTGCTGAACAGTTTTCCATGATATGGGTGTTCCCCAGTTTGTTTATCCATTAACTTGTTGAAGGACATTTGGGTTGTTTCCAGTTTTTGGCTATTACAAAAGAGCTGCTGTGAACATTCATGTATAGGTTTTTGTGTGAACATAAGTTTTCATTTCTCTGGGATAAATGCCCAAGAGTGCAATTGCTGGGTTGTATGGTAAGTGCATGTTTGGTTTTAAAAAAAACTGCCAGACTGATTTCCAAAGTGGCCGTACCATTTTACGTTCCCACCAGCAATGTATGAGTGATCAGTTTCTCTGCATTTGGTGTTATCATTACTTCTTAATTTTAGCCATTCAGGTAGATGTGTAGTGATATCTCATTGTAGTTTTAATTTGCATTTCCCTAATGGCTAATGATGTTGGACATCTTTTCGTATGTGTTTACCATCTGTGTATCTTCTTTGTGAAATATCAGTTCATGTCTTTTTTAATTGAATTGCTTGTTTTTTACTGTTGAGTTCTGAGAGTTCTTTATATAATTTAAATAAAATATATGTTGGATATATGATTTTTTAGATATGTGGTTTGCAAATATTTTCTCCCAGTTTGTAGCTTGTCTTTCCTTCTCTTAACCAGGTCTTTTGCAAAGCAAAAGTTTTTAATTTTCATGAGGTCCAGTTTATCAGTTTTTGCTTTTATAGATCGTCCTTTTGTTATCATGTATAAGAACACTGCCTAGTCCTAGTTCCCAAAGGTTTTCATCTATGTTTTTTCGAAAAGTTTTACATTTAAGTCTGTGATTCATTTTGAGTTAATTTTTGTGTAAGATGAGAGGCTTAAGCCAAGGCTCATGCTTTTGCCCATGGATGTCTAATCATTCCAGCACCATTTGTTGAAAAGTATATCCTTTTGTCATCCATAATCGTTTTTATACAGATTTTCAGATTATCTTTCATGGTTTATTTTTATAGGCTCGAGAACTCTTCCTAAAAGCAGTAGAAGAAGAACAAAATGGAGCTCTCTATGAAGGTAAGAAGTCAAGGCCCAGGATCATAGTATATTTCTGAATAACAACTCTTTGTTGCTGAATATATATATATATATTTTACTAGAATGTAACTGGTATGTTCAGTCTCCGTGTATTTGGGGAAAAAAATTTTTTTAAATAAAAACTAAAAATTGTATTTCCGTATAACCTGTCTCTTTCCCAAAAATAATGCCTAGAAACATCATCATCTTGGTAGGATGAGTAAAAGAACTTTTCTCTAAGTTTTAGTATTTAGTAATTCTTCATTAATAAAGCCTTAGAAGTGTCGTTACTCATTGTAAAATAGGACATGGCCCTTTTATCGGTGAAAATTGCTTCAGAGGAGGGGAATATAAAGGAAAGGTTGAGGAACAATAGAGTTTTTTTTTTACGTTCTGATTTAGTTTTTACTAAAGGAGTACCGTTCTGCTTTGTCTCTTTTATTGACCCAGTAGAAATAGATGACAGAGTGATGGGACCGTTTACTGTATTAGGTTTATAATTATGCTTTCATTATGTGATACTAAAGTTAATAATAATTGGGGCATGGGAAAAATACTTGTACTTGAATCACTTGAAAATGCACCCCAGGATAACATTATTCAGAATTACTGTGTTTATTTAAAAGTTTCTTATAGGGATATTTTTACTCTCAGATTTTTAAAGTGCCCAATTGGTGAAGTCCCTTTGCAATCTTTATTAATTTTTGAGATTCCCATCTCCATTTAGTATACAGTGATTTACTCAGAGTAATAGAACATGGCAGAATGTATTGAATTGAATAGACTTCATCCAAGGGAAAAAGAACTAGTCAGCTTATCTAGCCCCTACTTCTACTGGTATATTTCTGTAGGGGAGATTATTAAATATTAATTGCTCTGAACCACCTGGCCAGAAGATTTCTAAAAAACAGTTCTTAAAAGGGAAATAAATAAGAGGCAGGTGGGCTAAAGGAAGTTGAATTTGAACCATAAATTCCCAAAAGATTATTCTTTTTGTTCCACCCAGTAGGAAGCATTTGATTTTCCTCAAGTCTCTGTCCACGAAAGAAAAGTTTGCTTAGAAGTGTTTTTGTTAGGGCTGCAGCAATTGCATTTTCAAAGTCCAAAGAAAGACAACCACATAAGATAATTTCTGAAAATACATACGAGGGTGAGGAAAAAACATTGGGAGGGCTAGAACAGTAAAAATACAACAGCTTAAGCTTCTGTAACATGTTAGCGTTAGAATAAAGAAAATTTATTTCTGAGCAGTAAGGTTTAGAAATTTGTTTGTTCACTGAACTGTTGTTGCATGTAGAAAAAGGGAATTTGGCTGTTTGTAAAGAAGGTTACCAAATTAACCACAGTTAAAGGTAGACAAAGGAAATGACAAAAATGTGTGGTCATAGCTAATTTAGCTTTATTTCTTCTTTTAGCCATCAAGTTTTATCGTAGGGCTATGCAACTTGTACCTGATATAGAATTCAAGATTACTTATACCCGGTCTCCAGATGGTGATGGCGTTGGAAACAGCTAGTGCGTATATCATTTGATAGACAGTAATGCATAGAGCGTGTTAAAGTTCAGCGTCTTTGCCCTGTTGACTCTTAACGTGATTATCAGATGGTGCTAATTCTTTTAAGTTATATACTGTTTAGTAGATCCTTGTTTATAAAGTTGTAGAAAATTTTTAATTAGGGAAATTTTAAGATTAAATTGTAGCAATACAAATTTTAAACATACAACAACAAATAAGGCAATGAAGGAGTTTGTAATAAAAGCAATGATTATTAAAAGAAGAAAGGACACATCTCAACTTTCTGCAACTTTTTGGAAATAGAAAGTATTAAAATGTAATTAAGCCAAAGTTAGTAAAAAATTAATAAAGGTTGAAATTGGGTGTTGGGTACATGGGATTTCATTACACTAATCTCTATTTGTGTATGTTTGAGACTTTACATATAAAAGGAGCTTTCAATTTTTTTTTTAGGGACATGTTGAACTATAACAAGACTTTGTTTATTAAGGTATGTAGGTAGAATGTTATTTAAACTATAACATTTGGTTAAAAGCACAGGTGCAGGATGTAAACATTCCTAAGAGAAATCAATGGTTTCATTATATAGATGCCACTTGCATCAAAGTCATAAATAGCAATGATGATTTTCTATGTACGAAGATCAAGAGAACATATTTTTAAGCCAATACTTTTGATGCTATTTGCAGGACAATTATAAAATTGTTCTGGCTTAATCTCTATATCCGCAAAAGCCCAATTTGCTGATATTAGAAGGGAAGGGAGGCTGTACCCATGAGAAAATGCCAGGTTCAAAATGATCAACACATAGAAAAATAGTTTTGGTAATAAGATATTAACTATATTACTATATTACCTTAAGGATCCCTGGTGGCACAGTGGTTAAGTGCTTGCTAACCAGGAGGTCAGCAATTCGAACCCTAGCTGCTCCACAGGAGAAAGATGTGGCAGTCTGCTTCTGTAAAGATTACAACCTTGGAAACCCTATGGGGCAGTTCTCCTCTGTCCTATAGGGTAGCTATGAATGGAAATCGAGTCTACGGCAGTAATATTACCTTGGTCATGAAGTAATTAACTTAACAAGTTACCTTTACCGATAGTTTATTCTTGTTGCCAATATTTTTTAACTACATATAGTGTTAACACTTAAGTTTTAGATAAGCCATATTAAAAAGCATCCCAGTGAAGTCAGTATTAATTGCCTGTTTGAACTTTTCAGCTAATGTTTGTTCACCAAATTAGATTTAACACTGTGACGTAGGTCATACTCAAATCATTTGGGCTTTTGCTAAGCCTTGTTTAATTTTGGCTAGAGTCATTTAGAGCTACCTCTTAGCCAGTTTCATAAAGAGGTGCCAGGTGCTGTTAAGATTGGTTGTACTTAATGAGAAACTTTTGTTCTGTAAACTTTCATCTAAAGTGAGAATAGCAGCACAACTGGAAGAACGTAACTGTTGTCACTGAATTGTGCATGTAGAAAATTTTGAAATGGTGTATCTTTGGCTGTGTATATTTTCACAAAAAAAAAAAGGTCGAGAAGGGACAGTGTTGACATGTGGTGGGGTTGTTAACCAATGTCATAAAACAATATGTGTACTGACTATTTAAGGAGAAACTATTTGTTGTGTAAACCTTCACTTAAAGTACAATTAAAAAAAAAGAAACCTAAAACAAAACAAAAAAGATTGGTTGTACCAAAACATTAAAGAAGCATTTCTTTTTCTCTGCTATCCCTTTATACAAACCCAAATGCTGTGAAAGTTCTTTAAAGATACAGTGACTTTTTTCTTATCAGATCTGGTTAAACCCCCAAAAAGTTTCTTTGCCTTCTTCCGTAGAATGTTTGTAGAGTCCCATTGAGGCCATCTAGCATCATCAAAACTTGCCCTTTGTTGTATCATAAAAAGCTCTTCTTGGTTTTCTAACTATTATTCTCATCCAAGCTAAAGTCTGATCATCTTTAAAGTTAACTCCAGCAAAAATGGAATGTGCAGATATTTCCTAGGATTTACACTTTTGATTATATTGGTAGATGATTTGTGGACCCTGTTAAGATTTTCCAAATTATGTTTTTTCTCTCTAAAACTAGAGTAGTAAGTTAAGGAACATCTGTTAGAAAATGCCTGGTATGTAAATACCTCAGATGACACATGTACATTTGATGTGTATCCAACTAGAATGAATTAAGTTCACGTAAAAGGATTTATCCACATAAATTATCTGCATTTGAAATTACCTTTTTCACTAACTCATGAAATTTCTACTTTATAATAAAACTAATTAGTTAAATCTCAGTACCTAATTCCAGTAGTAATTAAAATTTCTGAAGCTTTTTTCTTCAAAAAACCTGGTATCATACTTTCTTGCAAGGCACGATAAACTTATCACTTCAAATAATAAAAGTAAAGTAGTAGGAAAGTTTGCTTTTTAGATCACTTCTTTCCAAAACACTTAAAAGTTTCTAAGTTGTGTGTTTGTAGATTGAGGCACTTAATTTATCCACCTCCCATCTTTTTTCAGCATTGAAGATAATGATGATAGCAAGATGGCAGATCTTTTGTCCTACTTCCAGCAGCAACTCACATTTCAGGAGTCTGTGCTCAAACTATGTCAGCCTGAACTTGAGAGCGGTCAGACTCACATATCAGGTTTGAATTCTTGGTTATTATAACTCAGTGAGAGATACTTTAACCTTAGATTTAAAATTTTCAAACTTATCACGTCAGACTATTAGCCAGATAATTGCTGCTTTACTTCAGAATATGGTGGGAGGTCTAGTTATAATTACTGTTTGTATAAACAAATAAGCTTTTTAAAATCTGAAGTAGAGCAGGGTTTGTAGTGCAGTTGTTCAAGGATACCGTATTTTCCAGTGAACATCTAAGAGAGTGAGTCCAAGTTGCTAAGGCAGACCTAAGAAATTTGGAGAAATAGTGATATCAACCGGCATTGCAGGCAAATTGGACAGTAAGTCCTGAGATAGGCTGAATGTTTAAAAAATGAACGTATTTTCTTTTCATGTGTTAAATATTATTTAATTAGTTATGGGATTTTTAAGAACTAGAGGACAATTGACAATTTTCAAGGAGATGAAAAGTTTTCAGTGTTAACAAATGCAATATGAATCACACACAAATATATAGTAGACTTTTCTAACTTTTCATAGTTTTTATATCTTGATAGTAAAACGATCTTGAGAGGGAAAGGGTGTTTTATAAAAATAGCTTCAGGTCTGTTCTATACTAAAAAAAAAAAGTTATTTATGACTTCATGTTAGGAACCATTATTACTACTGAGTAGTTAAATACATTCATGCTGTAGCTTAGAGCGGTACTGAGGATATGATTTATAAATTTCTACAAATGGGTAAAGACATCTTCACTGAGAACGTGGCTGTTACAGTACAATGCCTTATGGGAGGGAGAGTCATTGGAAGGATGATTTTCTTTTGCAGTGCTGCCGATGGAGGTCCTCATGTATATCTTCCGATGGGTGGTGTCTAGTGACTTAGACCTCAGATCATTAGAGCAGTTGTCACTGGTGTGCAGAGGATTCTATATCTGTGCCAGGTACTTAACTTTTTTTAAATAACTCAGACAGTGGTGAAAAGGAGGATTATGATCTTTTGCCATCGGTTGTTCATTTTGATAAATAAGTGGTAATAATTTAAATTTAGATTGCATCCTGGGATGCCCTTCTAACTCAGACCTGAAGCCACTCCCAAAGCTTACCTTTCAGCCAAGGATTAGACAGGCCTATAAAACAGTAACACGTGTGAGGAAATTGCTTCTTAGATCAATCAAGTATATGAGACCAAATGGGCAACACCTGCCCCAAAGCAAAGACGAGAAGGCAGGAAGGGACAGGAAAACTGGATGAATGGAAATGAGGAACCCAGGGTGGAAAGGGGGAGACACAAGACACATTGCGGGGATTACAACCAGTATCACAAAACAATTTGTGTAAATTTTTTAATGAGAAACTAATTCGCTCTGTAAACTTTGATCTAAGGCACAATTTATAAAGAAGAAGAAAACAATTTAGATTACACTAGAATTTTCCTTTGGCCCATTAAAAATTATCGTATACTTTTAAAGTCTTAGTATCTGAGAATAATAGTAGCTTAGTATAAAATCGTTGGACACTAGCCATCTTTCGTGAGTATCTTAAAATATGCTTAGTCTTTAGTATCTAGAATATAGCTGTAATTTTTAAAATTCAGACGCATTATTTTAGATAATTAATTTCATTTGGAGTCTTCTATTTGGGGTAACATATTTGAATTGCTGGAGGTTGAACCCTTTGTTTTTGGTGATTCTATACGCTGTTTTATTTAACTATTACCTATTAAGCCCTGAGTGGATTGCCACCAACCTATTGAAATAAAGGTCTCTGGTACTGTTACTCCTTTAACTTTTTAAACTATACATGAGAAAACATTATAAGGAAGGAATTAAGAAAGAAAATTTTCAGTGATAAAACTTCTGTGTTGTAAAATAGAGCAATTACTAAAAGAAAAAAAATTTACTCATTCCAATATAAATTTGTAGTCTGGCACCCATATAAGTAGTTTCCATTTCTTCAAAACTGACTTTTTAGTTGTAGACAGAGTCAAAATTTTTTTTTTTAGCTATGTCAGAATCATGTCAATTGTCAATACGTTTTTTAACCTCATAACAAAGTCTTGTCGGTGCTTCGTTTAAAATATATCTCCAGTCTGATCATTTCACCAGTTCTACAACTACCATCCTGCTCCAGCCACCATTATGTCTGGTCTGGATTACTGCAGTGTTGTCCTACATGGTCTCCTGTTTCCACTCTTCCACCCCTAGAGTATATTCTCCATTAACCACTAGAGTGATCTTTTCAAAACGTAAATCAGATTATGTCACTCAGTCTTAGTTATCTAGTGCTGCTATAACAGAAATACCAGAAATTGATAGCTTTAACAAACAGAAATTTCCCTTATCACAGTTTAGGAGGCTAGAAGTCTGAATTCAGGGTGCCAGCTCTAGGGAAAGGTTTTATCTGTTGGCTCTGGAGGAAGGTCCTTGTCTCCTCTACTTCTGTTTCCTGGTCCCTTGGAGAGCTCCATGTGTCTTGGCATTTATCTTACCCCATCTCTCCTCTGTTCTCTTGTTTAATCTCTTTTATATCTGAAAAGATATTGACTTAAGACACACCCTAAACTGATTCTGTCTCATTAACATAACAAAGACAACCCATTCGCAAATGGAATTATAACCACAGGCATAGAGGTTAGGATTTACAACACATTTTTGGGGGACACAATTCAATCCATAACACTCCCATGCTCAAAACCCTCCAACAGCATCCATCCCACTTAAATAGCCAATCCTACCAGTGGCCTGCAAGATGCTACCTCTTCTGCTCCTTGCTCTCTCTCAAATCCTGTTGTCTACCCTTTGCTTCAACCTGTGATCCTTCTCGCTCTTTGTTGTACTCGCCAGACATACTTCTGCCGTAGGGCCTTGCAGTGCTGTGGCTTCTGCCCATCACTGTGGTCACTTTCCAGAGAACCCTTTCTTGGCCACCCTGTCTGAAATAGTCTCTGTTTACCCAGCACCATCATCACTGTCCCCTTACCCTGCTTTGTCTGTCTGTGTGTTTGCTTGTTTTTGCACTGAGCACATTACCTAAAACTTTTCTGTCTCTTTGTTGTCTTGTTTGTGTTTGCTTTCTCGTTAGTAACAGCAGGGCCTTTGCCTTGTTCATCAGTGTATGTCCCCAGGGTCCAGAACAGTGCCTGGCAAGTGCTCAGCAAATACTTGCTGAATAAAAGGTGACTGATAGCAAAAATATTTATGACTGCATACAAGGACTTAGCCTTTTATGTACAGATTGTTGTACTTTTATTACCTAGAGACCCTGAAATATGGCGTTTGGCCTGCTTGAAAGTTTGGGGCAGAGGCTGTATTAAACTCGTTCCGTACACATCCTGGAGAGAGATGTTTTTAGAAAGGCCTCGTGTTCGATTCGATGGTAAGTTGAGCAATGATTGATTTATAATGCTGATTTTGATAAATACACAATTTTAATGGACTTAAGTAATAACACATTTAAGGGAAACCACAATAAAAGTAAAGCTGGGAACGTGATAGCCATTTTAAAAGTTTTTTATTTTTTATGATTTCACTTTTTAAAAAATCATTTCTTTTTTACAGGTGTGTATATCAGCAAAACGACATACATTCGCCAAGGAGAACAGTCTCTTGATGGTTTCTATAGAGCCTGGCACCAAGTGGAATATTACAGGTACAACTGTAGTAAACTGAGTGAGTGAAAAATTCTCTCTCTCCAAGTATTAGTTAGTTAACATTTGTTCTTTGTTCTTTTTGCATTTGTGTATAAAATGGCCCTCAGTATTTTTATCATAGGAACTGTACTCAAAGAACGAACAGGTTAATATAAATTTATTTAATTCCCCCTAGCCTCTAAATCTTAAAAGTATATTTTACATTTTAGAGTTTTCCTTGTCTTTTCCTTTAGTGTACTCATTTACCTTTTCAAATAACAAATAGACTTTTATTCAGCCTTATTGTTCATTAAATGTTATTGGAAATAAGTGGACTTTTTTTTAACCACTGTGTGTTATCATTAGAGCTCACTTTTGTTTGACATTAATTAGTGCTTTAGGAAAAGCACACAGAACTAGAATAGAGCAATATTTAATCTATTTTTATTTAGTGAATGAAAAGTTCAACAGTTCCCTCTAAGGAAGATAATGAAATGTCTTTAGTTCTTTATGGCCAATTTCACAGGTTTTTCAGTCACATTTACAGTCATGTGTCACTTAACATCCACAATATGTTCTATGAAATAGGATGTTACGTGATCTGGACGTTGTGTGGACACCATATTATATACAGGCAGTCCCCAGGTTACTAACATCGGACTTACGTACAACCCATAGTTACGAACCAACCCCCGTAAAGCCTGTTATTAAAAATTAAGAGATGTACAATGGTTTGTAATAACAAACGAGTGCCTGGCAGCACAGTCGCTTTGTATACAAGAGATAGATACACGTTGCTCACAGGAAGCTGTTGTGTTTACTAAGTCCGGTTATGTCCACTGTGTCCCGTTCTCCAGTCAAGATTTCTGAATTTATGGGACCATGGATGTGTATGCAGTTGGGTGTTTCCTGAATGGACAGTATGTGGAGCGTGACTGTATTTTAATGATGTTTTGCTAATTCTTTAACCCATGGTATTTCCATTTTGATTTCACAGCTGTGAATAGGTTTACGTATTGATAAATGAGGACATGTTTTATATTTTATGTGTGTGTGGTGTTTTTTGGGGTTCTCTTTCTTTTTACACAGGTATATAAGATTCTTTCCTGATGGCCATGTGATGATGTTAACAACCCCTGAGGAGCCCCAGTCTATTGTTCCTCGTTTAAGAACTAAGAATACCAGGTATTATTTTTCTATACTTTCTTATTCAGTCCACATTTTAGATGGTTAGCCCAACACTTCCCTGGTTTTAATACTGAATGACTGAAAAAGCAATGTTGGGGGCACTTGTTAAAAATAAAGATTCATGACCTTCTCCATAGAGAATCTACTTTGGTAGATCTTTGCAGCCTTGGAATGTATGCATTGTTTACTCACATCCTAGCTAATTCTTTTTTAGGAGAGTTGAGTAAACACTGAGATAACCCATTACTTCTTGGATTACTTAAATCCATATAATAACTGGTCAGTAGACTTAGATTTAAAGTGTATTTTTTCTTTTTTAGAACTGATGCAATTCTGCTGGGCCATTATCGCTTGTCACAAGATACAGACAATCAGACCAAAGTATTTGCTGTGATAACTAAGAAAAAAGAAGAAGTGAGTATGCCATTCCCTTCTTAGTTTAAGACTCTATTCATTCAAGCATTCTTGATTAGAAAACATTTAAAAATACTACTTTATTATTTATACTATTACACAAAATGTATGTTGATTTATCTCTGAAGAGAGCTGGGGAGTTTTCTAAACTGGTTATTTTTGTTGCATTAGCTTGTTTATTTTTCTCTAAATGATTTTTTTTTTTTTTTTCTGGTTCAGTTTTTTTAATCCATGAAAATGTAAAACCAAAATTTTCTGTAAAATAACTACTAAAATTATATCCGATTCCTTTTTGCTCTTCTTGTTTTGAATCATAGAGGGTTTCCCTTGTAAATTAGCTGATACAAATAATTCTTTCACAAATATATTCTTATAGAGAACTTCAGTTTATACAGGAAATAAGCTAAAGTATGATAATTTTTTTCTCCCTGTTCTTGCCAGGAAGAAAATGCCAGAAAATACAATTACTGATATTATTACATTCTAGAGTGCATTAAACGCTCTTAACAGATTGAGGGCGGTATTTTTTTCCACAGCCTTTCTCCATGTGTACTTTTTCAGTCCTGGTTAAAAACTAGTTGTGAGGGAGTTGACATAAATACTTGCCTGTTGCTTTTAAAATTACCCTTACAGTACAGTTTTTTTAAAGATATTTTCCTTGTATTAAACCCCCCTCTCTTCCCTAGCATCATGTATATTGAGATAGTAAGGACAGGATTTCATCTCTGAGTGGTATCACCTAGTAGCCATCTGTTGCTGGCTTCTCAGGCTCTCTGGCAGACTCTTGGAACTTGGGGCAGCAGTCTGATTGGTGGAAAAAAGTCGCTGTGACTGTGACCTTGGCCGTGTGTTTCCTAAGATCAAAATTGGGGAAAGTGTGAGGCCCTAGCTGTGTAGGTTTTATCTAATAAAACAGAGTTTAGGAACTCAAATGTACACTGCCAGTTTCCTCTTTAGGATAAGATATAATGAAACCAATCATAGTGTTTACATTTTTGTATTTTCAGCAGTAGTATTTGCAGAAGTGTGACAGTGATGATCCTTTTCACATCAATTCCTACCTGTTGCCTGTTATACTATTATTGCAAATGATAAGCTATACTCTGTGCTTTTTCCGCAGCCTCCACCAAATTATCACTTTTATTCTTTAAAAAAAAATCACTGTTGCTAATAGAAAGAAGTACTAGGCTTAGAGATAGGAGACAAAAGTTTTAACTTCCATCTCTGCTACCAACTGCTGTGTAACTTTGGTTAACTCATTTGACTTCCCTGGGTCTTAAATGGGAAATACTGTGATCATATTTAACACATGAGTGGTTGTGGTTAATTGAGATGATAATGACGGGGAAAGCCTTCCGCGTTTGTATAGTACTTAATGGTTTTCAAGGCACTTTCATACACATTCCCATGTGATAGCCAAGGCACCTCTTTACTGTGTGCAGATACTCTATTACTATTGGTGTCACTCTTACGTAAGTGAGGGTTCATTACAGCTTATGAACCTTTTCCTTCACAGAAACCACTTGACTACAAATACAGGTATTTTCGTCGTGTCCCTGTACAAGAAGCAGATCAGAGTTTTCATGTGGGCCTGCAGCTGTGTTCCAGCAGCCACCAGAGGTTCAACAAACTTATCTGGATGCATCATTCTTGTCACATTACCTACAAGTAGGTGAATAGGCTAAAAATGCTAAGGTTACAGACTCAATCAGTACATCATTCACATCAGGCGTAGGAAATTCTCAGGTATGATTTGAATTCCTCTGTCAACATTGCATTACAAAGCAAAGCCACAGTGTAATGCTACTACAAACCAAGAAGATGGCCGAAGTGAAAAAGACTAAGCATAGGTTAGGAAGTGAAGCAGCTGGAGCTCGCACAGTGCCAAAGGGAATGTAATTGGTGTAACCACTTTGGAAATGAAAACAGCCTTCCATGAGTAGAATGGTACTCAGCCAACTTAAGCTGTCCAAGCATCACTTATTTAAGGCATTTATAAAATACCAGCTCATTTTTCTTCTCTAGTGTTTCAGTCTTAACATTTTTTACTTTACTTCCACTTGATGAGACTCAGGGATTGCATACTGATTTTAATAAATTTATAATTAGGGAAGTGAGTATGGTAAAAATGTAATCTCATATGTTCCAAAACCAAATATATTAGGTGGTTCCTTTTTAAAACTCTTTGGTCTATGAGATAGGATTTACCTGTATGAAACAATGACCAAGGAATGTGAGTGAGAAAGGAGGAGTATACAAATAAGTAAAATAAGAAAGGAATTGGGGAAGTGAAATATCAGTTAGCATGGATATTGAAGTTAGCTGTTAGGTTTGAAAGAATATTGGTGTTTGACTGAGAGCTCTTTGTTCCCATTGAACCCAGAATTCTGAGAGACAGGTTTTGAGGTCAGCTTCCATAACCTACTTCACAACCTTGAACACATTGTTCAAAACTTTCTTGGTCACGTTTCTACCTTACAAATCACTTTTCCCCACTCACTTGGAAGGTCCTGACATCTGAGAAAGAAGCTTTCTTTCTTCTCAGGCTTACCTGCCAGTCCTGTTGTCTGCTTTTTGTTTGTTTCTGGTGCAGTGGAATTCTTTTCCCTTTTTAAAGAAAGAAGCCATATTCAGAAGTAGAACAAAGCAAATGGATAATAGCTATAGTTCATGCATAACCAATTAGGAAAGCATTATGTTATCATGTTCTCGGAGGAAAAAAGGACATTATGATTAGACGTCATTTGTAGCTGCTAGTGATTGCATTGACTTCTGGAAGTGTTCATAAAGTCATTTGAATTTTCTGTATTTATTTCTCTATTTGGGAAAAAGATTAAGTAAAGGCTTTGATAGTATAATTCATCACCAGCTTCTGCACTGCCTCTAATTATGCTATTGATGATGCGACCAGGAAATTATTAAACTGTATTCTAGGAATAGAATAAGAAGCCCTGGAGGCACAGGGATTAAGGTGGGCTGCTAACTGAAAGGTCGGAGGTTTGAACCCACCAGCCACTCCATGTGGGAGAAAAATGTGGCAGTCTGCTTCCGTAAAGCTTACAGCCTTGGAAACCCTCTGGGGCATTTCTACTCTGTCCAGTTCTATTCTGTCCTATAGGGGTGCTATGAGTTGGAATCAACTTGACAGCAACGGGTTTTCTGTATCCTAGGAATATAATTGGTATAGTCTTTCTGAAACACATTTTGACAAGGGTCTTAAAAAAGTCTATAAATTTTGGCTTAGAAATTTCACTTTCAGGAGTCTGTTTGGAGGGCATAATAAAAAAAAATCACAACATTATTTTCAGTTGCCAAATATTGGAAGCAACCTAAATTTCCAAAAGGAGGAATAATTAAGTAGATTGTGGTATAAACAGACAGTGAAATATTATTCTTCGTGTCTGAAGAATATTTAATCGATGTGGTGAAATGCACATGCCATAATGTGAAGTGAAAAAAGCAGGGTTACTGATAGAGTATGATCTTAGTAGCAAAGCTGGATAAGAGATTCAAGTGCTCGGAAGGAACGCTGAGGAGTTCCTGGGTGACACAAGCAGTTAAGTGCTTGGCTGCTAAACAAAAGGTTGGAGGTTTGAGTCCACCCAGGGGTACCTTGTAAGAAATGCTTGGCAACCCACTTCCGAAAATCAGCTATTAAGAACCCTACAGAGTACAGTTCTATTCTGACACAAATGGGGCCGCCATAAATTGGAATAGACTCATTATATCTTTATAAATTTTACATTTTTTTTTTTTACAAATAATGTTTATATTATTTAGGATTTACTAAGATAAGTTAAAGATAAAAGACTAAAGCATAAAATAACGTGCTCCCAAAAGAAACAATGCAAGGATTTTCAGTGAGTAGATATTTCTGTGTAGCTAGTACTTCTGTTTCATTCCAGATCAACGGGTGAGACTGCAGTCACTGCTTTTGAGATTGACAAGATGTACACCCCCTTGTTCTTCGCCAGAGTGAGGAGCTATACCGCGTTCTCAGAAAGGCCTCTGTAGAGCTTCGCTTCCAGTCCTCTGTTACTGTTGCATGAATAAAAGTACATAGAGCAAAAGCACCTAAGTTATAAATGTACAGATATATGTATATATATGGAGTTGGAACTTATTTTAAATTGTTGGGGTTCTTTTAAGAAGAGTCTAAATTGATTATTTTTTTTATTTAAAGGGATAGTTAATTCTTGGGGTGTTTTGTTTTAAAATTAAGATTATAAGTTGTTTAAGTACATTTATGTTGGGAAAACCTTAATATGAGGTGTAAATCATGCCCTTTTTCAAGCAGATTTATGAGCAGACTTCTATCGAGTAAGTCTTCTACCTGACTGTCCTAATATTTAAACACATCAGGGAAAAGCTCCACTGGATAAACATTTATCTCACGCATGACACTGCACTCAAGGCTCAAAATGTGAAAACCTGCTCTGCATTGGTTTGAAACTGTTTGACCAATAAAAATCATAAATAAATGTTTTCTTTCAAGACAATATATTTGGGTGGCCTTTTAAAGATGTCGGAATAGTTAAAAGATAATCAGTCCTAGAGTAGCCAGTGAAGGCTTAATAATCATTGTGTCATTTCATCATTGGTCCTCATATGCAGCCGCACATTACAGATACCTACACTCCAACCTCATCTAGGCGTCTTGCAAGTGTATAGCATTAAGTGGGAAAGAGTGAATCACTCAGGACTAGAACTCTACAGCAAGATCAACTGACTTGGTCATCTGTGTTCATAAAAGAACAGTAGAGGATTGTTTAAACCATGACTCAGGTCTCATTCCAAGATGAAAGCTGGCAGAGAACCAGCCACCCAGTAAACTGCATGTTACCTTTTCTCTTAAAGGAGCCCTATCACCCTTAGTAACAGTATGATTACGTTGCATTTAATTTCAAAGTTCGTGTCTGGCAAACCTCTACCAAATTCAGATTTGGTGATTCAAATACAGCCGTACTGGGCAGTGTTTGTTTTGTTGTACATAGGGTCTCTATGAGTCAGGATCTGCTCAACAGCACCTAACAACAACAAATATAGCCAGAGTCGAGTACTCATGTACTTTGAGAAATCAACATCTGCAGCCACTGTTGCTTTCAAGTTTGAATTGACATTAAAAGACACTTTGTAAGTTCCCACAATACAATATGGGATCAAAAAAAATCCATCAAGTCAATTCAAACTCATGAAATGGGATAAGCCTTTTAAAAAGCTGATACATGTGACTATGTTAAAGATGAAACCCACATATTCAGTACTTGTTCACAAAGAAGAGTTCTACTTAGGTTGGCATTTTGCAACAGTTGAGAAATGACGATGTGTTTCTCAAGTTGGAAAAAAGGGAGAAAGAAGCAATGTACCTAAAATAAGGCAGCTTTTCATGGTATGACTTTATTTGTGAAATAAAACATCTGGTTAGAACATAATCAAATATAGCTATAAAAGTATATTCGTAAAGAGTGGAATTTGGGGATTCTCTTCTGTTTTGCCACTCATCCCTAGATTAGGTGATATGTTATAGACAACCAGTAGATACTAAATTCAAATTTAATTGCTCCTTTGGGACCACTGAAGCACCTTTCACTTAAATTTATTTTGGAGCTAGAAATAATTTTTTCTGATTGTATTTTCTGTATGTTTAAAAATACTGTGTTTTTTTAAAAACCACAAAAGCAATATACATTTATTATAAGAGAATTAGAATATACAGAGAAGCAAAAAATAAATGGTAAAATTAAGTAATCCTAATACCCAAAGATAACTAGTTATCGAGAAGGAATTTTTTGCTGTGCAACATTTTCCCCATAATGTTCTCTGCAAACCTTGCCACAAAAACTTGTAACTTCATAAATGTCCCTCCCATGTTCTATTTGGTCACGACAGATGCCAATACTGTTAATAGCTGACAGGGTGGTATCTAGACTAACTCTTAAACAAAAAAATTTCCAGAAATTATGTTTCATATTCTGCTTGAACTGCCTGTGACCAAAATGTTCTCATAGTGAATCTGACCTAAGCACCAGCGTGTGGAATCACCACCTCAGCCTCTATCAGACAATCCCCAAAAAGTTAAACTGTTAAAAACACTAAAATAATAATAACTTACATGTTAAGTGCAGGGCAAGAGGCTTTGTTTATAGGAATTATCTCATTCAATGCTCACAATATATAGGTATTACTGTCCTTGTTTTTATAAATAAGAAAATTGAGATTAAGAAGGTTAAAATAAACGTGCCCACGGTCACTCTGGTTAGTGGTGAAGCAAGGCTGACTTCAAAACCCTTGCTGATAGCCAGAGCTAGTAATGAAGGCCAGTTATAAAGGACTTTGCATCAAAACTCCAATATGACCACTCTGACAGGGATCACAATAGAAGGTCCTGAGCAGAATGGGAGAAAAACATAGAACACAATTCAATTTCAGAAAAAAAGACCACACTTATGATCTGACAGTGACCAGAGGAACCCCAGAGACTATGGCCACTGGACGCCCTTGTAACTCAGAACTGAAGCCACTCCTGAAGTCCACCTTTCAGCCAAAGATTAGATCAAAAAAACCAAACCCATTGCTGTCAAGTCAATTCCAACTAATAGCGACCCAATAAGACAGAAACAATATCACCCGTGAGTAATGTGCTCCTTTAAAAAATCATCTATTTGAGACCAAAAGGTCAAAAACTAAAGCAAAGATGAGAAGGTAAGGGGGCAGAGAAACTAGATTACTGGAAGTGGTCCAACTAGAATGGAATGAATGAGAATGATAGCGCATTGTGGAAAACATAACCAATATCACTGAATAATTTGTGTAGAAATTGTTAAATGGGAACCTAATTTGCTGTATAAATTTTCACCTTCAACACAAATATTATTAAAAAAAAAATGTTACTTTACAGAAATAGAAAAATCCTCAACTTTATATGGAATGGTAAGAGGCCTCAGATAGCTAAAGCAGTGTTGAAAGAAGAAAAAGGAAGAAGACTTAACACTTTCTGATTTTAAAACATACTGTACAGCTACAGTAACCAAAACAACCTGGTACTGGTATAATTAAATAGACACATAGACCAATGAAATTGATACAGTGCCAGAAGATAAGCCCCTCAGGTTTAAAGGCATTCAATACAACTGAGGAAGAGCTGCCTCCTCAAAGTAGAGTTGACTTTAATGATGTGGATGGAGTCAACCTTCTTTTGCTGATGTGGCACAACTCAAGCTGAGAAGAAATGGCTGCAAACATCCATTAATAATTGGAACGTGGAATATACAAAGAATCTAGGAAAATCAGAAGTTGTCAAAAATGAAGTGGAATGCATAAAGTTCTATATCCTAGGCATTAGTGAGCAAAAATGGACTGGTATGGGCCATTTTGAATCAGACAATCGTGTAGTCTACTGTGCTGGGAATGACAGCTTGAAGAGGAATGGCATTGTATTCATTGTCAAAAAGAACATTTCAAGATTTATCCTGAAGTACAACGTTTTCGGTGATAGGATAATATCTATATGCCTGCAAGGAAGAACAGTTAATACGACTATCATTCAAATTTATGCACCAACCACAAGGGCCAAAGATGAAGAAATTGAAGATTTTTACCAACTTCTGCCATCTGAAATTGATCAAACATGCAATCAAGATGCATTGATATTTACAAGCCTTCTGAAAAAAAAAAAGATGCATTGATAATTACTAGTGATCGGACTGTGAAAGTTGGAAACAAAGAAGAATCAGTAGCTGGAAAATATGGCCTTAATGATAGAAAGGAAGCTGGAGATGGCATGATAGAATTTTACAAGAACAAGAACTTATTCATTGCAAATACCTGTTTTCAACAACATAAACGGTGACTATACACATGGACCTCACTGGATGGAATACACAGGAATCAAGTCAACTACTTCTGTGGAAAGAGACAATGGAGAAGCTCAATATCAGTCAGAACAAGGCCAAGGGCCACCTACAGAACAGGCCATCAATTGCTCATGTGCAGGTTCAAGTTGATGCTGAAGAAAATTAAAACAAGTCCACGAGAGCCAAAGTATGACCTTGAGTATATCCCACCTGAATTTAGAGACCATCTCAAGAACAGATTTGACACATTGAACACTAATGACTGAAGACCAGACAAGTTGTGGGATGACATCAAAGATACCATACATGAAGAAATCAAAAGGTCATTAAAAAGACAGGAAAGAAAGAAAAGACCAAAATGGATGTCAGAAGAGACTCTGAAACTTTCTGTTGAACATAGAGCACCTAAGTGAATGGAAGAAATGAAGTAAAAGAGCTGAACAGAAGATTTCCAAGGGCAGCTCGAGAAGATAAAGTATTATAATGAAATGTACAAAAACCTGGAGTTAAAAAACCAAAAGGGAAGAGCATACTCAGCATTTCTCAAGCTGAAAGAACTGAAGAAAAACACTCAAGCCTTCAGTTGCAACGTTGAAGGATTCTATGGGCAAAATATTGAACAACACAGGAAACATCAAAAGAGGATGGAAGGATGAAAAAAACCAAAGACACAAGGAAAATATTAGTCCAAAGGACTAATGGACTACATAAAACACAGCCACCACCAGCCTGAGCACAGAAGAACTAGATGGTGCCCAGTTACTACCACTGATGACTCTGACAAGGATCACAATCGAGGGTCCCAGACAGACCAGAAGAAAAATGCAGAACAAAATTCAAATTCACAAAAAAAGACCAGACTTACTGGTCTGACAGAGACTAAATGAACCCTCGAGACTATGGCCCCCAGACACCCTGCTAACCCAGAACATACGCCACTCCCAAGTCCACCTATCAGCCAAAGATCAGGCGGGCCTATAAAAAATAACACACATGAGGGACATGCTTCTCAATTCAATCAAGTATATGAAACCAAATGGGAAACACTGGCCCAAAAACAGACAACAAGGCAGGAAGGGACAGAAGAACTGGACAAATGGGCATGGGGAACCCAGGGTGGAAAGAGAAAGGGGGAGAGTGCTGACACATTGCAAGGATTGCAATCAATGTCAAAAAACATGTCGTGTATAAATTTTTGAATGAGAAACTAATTTACACTGTAAACTTTCACCTAAAATAATAAAATTTTTAAAAGACGAGGTTTTTTTGTTTGTTTGTTTTTTTAAGAGTTCATGCAATTTTCCAGTTGGTTGAAGTTGATTTTACTTGGTCTGAATATTTCTCAAAAAGAAAGTCCAGTGATTTGCCATTATATGCAACAAAGCTGTTTGTATTTCCAAATGCACATAAAAGAGAAAGCAACTGTTATATTTCATCAGTGAAGAAATCTATCAATATGTGGAGTACAAATAACCATTCATTTGTATAATTAAAAACACAGATGAAATAAAATGTCTCTTAATTTCTAGAAAGTTGTTTCTGCAGCCAAATGTATTTAAGGAAATACTATTCATATTTGGTAAATATAAATGAATATGATACAATTATTTCTACTTTCAAAATGTAAT